AGCTAAGCAAGAGCCATTCGAGACATTCTTTGAATTTTGAAGCAGATTTCAAGAGATGCTTACCTAGTGTCCCAACCATCAAATTCTTGAGGAGCACTTGGTACAGTATTTCTATAATGGTTTGTTGCCCTATGATGCCCAAGTCCTAGATACTGCTGCAAATGGATCCGTGGAGAATATGGAACCATGAGCTGTATAGGAATTAATTAGAACTTTTGCCCTTAACTGCCAATATGTAAGCTCAAGGGATCCAAGGGATCACGAAGCTGAAAGAGATCCACTGTTAGTCAAGCTAGCCCAAGACATGTCTAAGCTTGCAAATACAGTTGAAAGTCTTCGCTCCAACAAGCCATAATCTCTTGCCTTAGTCACTACAAGTTGTGGAGCTTGTGATTCTCTGATGCATACTACTTCAAATTGCCCTGGGTTGGTAGAAGAGGTCAACGCAATGTACTAAGGAAGAGATGGAAAATATCAGAAGAGAGACCCCTACGTAAACACCTACAATCCCCGTTGGAGAGATCATCCAAATTTCAAATAGGGTGGGGGAGCAAATAGACCAAATCAGTTCCAAGGCAATCAGTTCCACAATCCTGGGGCCTCTTCAAGCACCTTTCAAGATCTTTCAAGAGTATTAGTGACAACTCCATAATAGATTATGGTATCTCAACCACTGCCAAGAGGAGATGACACTGCACAACTCTTGAAGAGCATGGTTGCTCAAATGACAAACATGGAGGGGCGAATGAAGGAAAGAAGTTCATCTCCATAACTACCATATTGTAAGGATACAGAAAGATAACTCAGATGTTCATAAGAAATTAGAGGAGCTCACCTTGAAGAATGCCGACGTCACTAGTCATTTAACCCTACTATCTAATACAGTCAATGATATGCAAGCTAAGAGTGGCAGTAGCATTCCTTCTAATACGGTGATCAATCCTAAAGCCCTTAATGTGATATTCTTAAGAAGTGGTAGAAAGGTCCACTTTGAGGATGAAAGGGTAGACAGAGATGCATCTAAGCAAGAAATAGAGAGTTCTTAACTTACCTCTATGAAGTTGGGCAAATCTGAAAGTTCCAAGGAGGAGGAACTTCTTAGGAGAAAGAGATCCCCAGAAAGTAAAAATGCACAAGAAGAGGAGAACCCTGTGGAAGGGTCGAAATGTAAGGGCAAACAAAGGAAAAACAAAGCAGGACCAAGCACCCATGGAGGTTTGAGCAATTAGGGTAAAAAGGTAAATCTCAATGAACTTCCTTTTTCTCAATCTTACTTGCAAGGTATGAAAATTTCTAATGAAAAACAAGATAATAAGTTGCTTGAAACTTTTAGAAAAGCTGAAGTAAATATACCCTTGCTTGAACTAATTAAAAAGATCCCTAAGTATGCTAAAGTTTTAAAAGAGTTGTGCACACATAAGAGGAAGTTTAAACCTAATGAACAAGTCTAGTTGCCCTCTAGTGTGTCTGTTTTGTTTAAACCATAACTCCCAATCAAATGTCATGACCTTGGTTCCTTTACTATACCTTGTACTGTAGGCAGGACAACTATTCCTAAGGCTTTACTTGATTTAGGTGCTGCCATCAATGTTATGCCTCGGTCAATGTATGAGTCCTTACAAATCAAAAGTCTTAAACCTACCACCATGATGCTCCAGTTAGCTGATAGGACCATGAGGTACCCACACGACTTCTTAGAGGATATCCTAGTGAAAGTCAAAGTCTTAGTTATCCCTGCTGATTTTTATGTCCTGGATATGCCTAATGAATAAGGTGGGGATGGGACCTTAATTTTGGGTACACCCTTTTTAAGAACTGTTAATACTAACATTGACATGAAAAGGATCTATCACTATGTCTGTTGGGGATAAATTTGCTTATTTCAATATGTATGAACAAATGAAATAACCACATAAAGATTACTCGATATGTGATGTTAATTTTCTTCATGGGTTGTTTATTGATGAGCTTCATAATGTTAATAAAATGCATGCTTCATCCCCTACTCCTGACTTTGCTTCCCCCTTCCTCTCTAATGGTAGTGACGTGGGCTGTTCTACTGTTCATCAGTTAGATTACACCTTTTCCACTCCATCTGGTTCTACTATTACTAATAGTACACTTGGGAAGCCTTTGAGCCCGAGAAAGGCTTTGTTTCTGATGTTAAAGCAGGTGGTAGTAGAGCTGTAAAGACGTCTAAGAAGAAGAAGCGTTTCAACCTTGTCGGGGAGCTGCGTGCCCTGAATGCTGTGCATGGACTAGTTACAACTCTAGTTGCTCTCCACTCTGCTGTCTCTATACCCTCAACTAAGAAAACTAATCAAAAGATAGCTGTTGCTTCTATGGAGAGTAAGAAAGTGGATTTTAAGGAAGAGAGCAAAGAGCCTAAATCTCTCAAGCTCTTTTCTAAGGCGAAGAAGAAGAAAATTAAGATACCCTCTACCACTTTCCCGCCTCTCTCCATTGACCACTACACGATCATTGATCTAGTCTATAAAGACCTTTTCCTATTAACTCCTGAGGAGGCTGTGAAGATTAAAGTTGGTGTTGAGGTGTGGGGCCTACTGTCCACTTATCAGATGCCAAAAGCTAAGAAAAGGGCCAAATGGATTGGACCTTTTGAAGTTCATTCAACATGCCAGCATAGGAAGGTTGTAATGAGGGATGTTGAAGGCTGGTTCTTCCAAGTTAAAAAGGAGCACCTTCGTTTCTTCTAGGAGAGCTATCAGCCTCCATGACACCTCAGGTTGCTTCTTTCCTTTACCTATCTTGTTCACCATGTTCTGCTTTATTTTGATCGATTTGATTATTGCATGTGTTAGTGAGATAAGTGTGGGGGAATAAGCTGACCAGTGGGAAAAGTAGTTTAGCTTATTTTAGGCTGTAGTTTTTTAATTCAATAATTTTCTCCTCTTGCTGCTCTTGTCTTATGTCTGTCCTTCTTTATGCTTAATTGTTTGCTTAGTCATGCAGTGAAGGCACTGTCGTGCTTATATGGTTGGTGTTATTTGTTTTAATTATAGTGGCTATTGTTCTTTTTCCCTTTCCTTTTGACAGTGAGGACACTGTCAAGTCTAAGTGTGGGGAGAAATTCATTTCACTTTGTTGGATCATTTCTGTAGTTGTTTCAGAATTTTTGGCAAAATTTTTCGAAAATCCAATCTTTCATCATCATTATTTGGCTTTAAATTTGTAACATCTTGATTTTTAAGCTTAGAAGTACCAGAAATAGCCTGAATTGGATAGGCTACCAGACTCTTTTTTATTAGAGGTTCCAAAGATGAGAAAGGAAGTTAAAGCAGTTTCAGAGACTAAACTGTAAAGTGAAAGTTTTAAGGGGCTAAAGTATAATCAAAGTTAGAGGCTCCAGTAAAGTCTCGAAAGCCTAGAAAGAGAAAAGAGGCTAGATACAGACCAAAGGTTAAGTTAGAAGCCTCAAAGAGATGGTTTTATGAGGTTGAGGCTAAGTAGGGGTAAAACCATAAATTCAAAAAGTTACGGCCATCAGGGGGTAAAAATGGAAAGTACATAGAAAATTCTAAGAAAATCCCAGAAAATGAGAAATAATATTCTAAGGCTCTTTTGTGAAGAGAGATGATGAAAATACTCCTGAGATAACTTAAAAGGAATTTATAAGTTTATGGCTCAGTTTGAGATATAGAGGTAGATTTAATTGTTTGAGTCATAAAGAAACCTCATAAAATTATGGTAAAAGGGGATGTAAGATCTAAGAGGCTATAGAAAATTATAAAATTAGTCTCATCCCCAAAAGACCAACAACATGGCTTTAAGAATACTTAAAAGTTAGTTATGTTGAAAAAGGGCATTTTAAAGAATGATTTTTAAGTGGGGCTAAAGGTTGAGTTATGGCCTGAGAAAATTCACAGATATGAGGAATGTTATGATATTTTTGGATGAATTTTTAGAGCTCTGAATTGAATAAAATGCTCCAGTCAAATATTAAATAATTTTTGTCCCCTAAATAGGAGACAAAACCAAAGAAAATATCTAAAGGCTATCATGATGGTGCTGAGTCACCAAACGTAATCATGACACTTGCGAGTAGTCATATTGAGTCAGCAAGAGATATTTATAAACAGTATAAAAAATCAAAACACAGTACGAGTACCTTTTAGACAGTCTTTTATCTACTCGTTATAGTGAAATATCTACTGTATGACTCAGTAAGGCTAAGTAGCCTGTCAGAAGAGCTAATTATTTTTTTTTCTATACTCCTCTAAGGTGGCACCATATATGTACCATTTATTTGCTAGAATTTTAAGCAGAAAATGTCCCGGTGGTACAGGGTAAGTCAGGACTCGAAATGTATCCGATACGGTGCAAGATTGGCTTGATAGGTGGAGAAATAATTAAGAAAATATTTTTGCACAAATTTTCCATTTCTTTCCTCCTTATTTTAATGCTAAGTTGATGAATGGGCATGAAAGGAATTATTCAAGTTGTTACAAGAATCTAGAAAAATCAAGAAGAGTATAGAAGAACCTAAAGGGATCTAGAAATCTCTAGAAGCATCTACAAGCTTCTTGAAGCCATGACTTATCAAGACACTTGTCATCTTCTTAGGCTATATTGCTTATGATGTGTACACGTGGAAGGGTGGTTGAATGGAGGGCTAAGATGAGCTCTTATTCAAGAAGGGCATATGTGGCACTATGGAAAGTATAAAGCCTATAAATACCCCCCACATGTTCATTTTGTGCAAGGCCATTCAAGTAGGGAAAATCTTGTAAAATTTCATTTAGAGAGAGAAAGAGAAGAGTTCTAGAGAGGGGAAGTGACTTGGAACCAAGGTAAGGCTTCTAAACTTCTTTATGTTGGTTTATGATAGTTATATGTTGATTTTGTGATAGTTTGATGATGATGGGAAGTTATTTTCCTAGGGGGAAGTGCTGCCCAAATTTTATCAAACTGATAGGCAATAATTTAACAAAGCTAGAACATCAATCCAAAATTAAGAGAAAAGGGCTAGGTTCAAGAAGGTTGGTCTTGAACTTTATATAATCTCTTGGTCCTAATGGATTGTATGACCAATGTGATTATGGTTAGGACCTTGGAACATCCAAGAGGATGTTTGATGATGTTGACTGAAAGCCCTTGTGGTTGGGAAGTCAAGGGAATCAAAAGAAAAACAAGAGGAAAGCTTGAGGTGCAAGGTAATGAATTCACCTCTTATGTGCTTGATGTAGTATGCTCATGTGTTAGTTTGTATTTGTTGTTTGAATGATGTTGTGACATGATGATTGTCACTAGAAATGCTGTTTTTAATATGTTCCTATAGCCATGCAAGCATAAAGCATGATGGCATGTCACTAGTTAACTTAAGTTTATGAAAAATTACATATAATACACTAGCATCCATCTTGTGCATGTATGTGGTAATGTTTGCTACTAAGATTCCCCCGAATCTCACCCCTCCCTAACCAACTATTTAGGTCAATCAACGATGGACAATAATGGCATGAGAAGCAAGGAGAAGTAAGCGAAGAATTATTCTTGTTAATGGATGAGATTGTTGATGAATGTATAATTCTCCTATTTTGTAAACTATACTATGGATGCCAATGATTCCATGTATTTAATTATAATGTTTATGTCATGAATATAAATGTATGAGAATGAATGGGAAAGAGTAAGACCAAGTTATGTATATCAAAGAAATAAAAAGAATTAAAGTAAAGAGTAGTTAAGGGATAAAACATAGGTCCTACGACAGTGAGTTTGTAGCTGCAGTTTGACCTATCAGATTTTAGCCATGAGATTTGGCATACTTATAGTACACATCCCAAGATTTAAAATGAGAGGTAGATTACCTCAATTGGATATGTACAAAAGGAGATACAAATTTTCAAAGTTGAGACATAGAATCTGGAAGTTCCAGATTTTACCAAACGAATAGTAATATTTATTGATTAAACTGTATGAATTGGGCAAGGATAAGTCCAATTAGATATTTTTTCCTTAAAGAGCTTTCTGTAGAATTTTAGAACACCTAAATACAATTTTTATGGAATTAGTTATGAAGTTTTGAAGTTGGCCAAGATTTCAGTGAAATGTAAATAGTGCGCAGAAGCATTCTGTGACTTGAGGTCACAACCTGAGAAGTTGAGGTCACGATTGGAAGGCAAATATGGCCTCTGTGACTTCAAATCATGACCTGAACTGGGAAAATGAAAGAGTCTCAAAATTTTAAGCCTTTTCTCATACTTAAGGGTCATATAAGTTTTTAAACATGATTTTTCATAACTTGTAGTCTTCAAAAGTGATTCCAAATTCTGCCGCAAGGCAAGTTAATTGAGCCTGTAATCTGGAATTTAAATAGCAAATAGTAACCCAAGCAATTATGTTGAAATTTTAATCCACGGGCTTGGATCGTGATCTGCTTGAATTATAAGGCTTCCAAACGCGTATTTTGAGGGGTTAAAGGCAGGACGTTTCAGAATTGATTGTGGATGGTGAATTGCTATGAATTGGATCATTTCTGTCTGTTTTGATGCTTGCTAAAAGGGTTTTTACATGATAAATATTGGCCAAGCTTTGAAAATTTTCATTGGTAGTCTCTATGACTTCAGGTTGGACCTTAGTGATTCAAGTCACGACTTGAGGAATGGCTTTAGCAAGGAAGGACTCCCTATAATTTTCGATCACGATCTCAGTGATTTTAAGTCACGACCTCAACTCCTTTTCCTAACTTGGTGTCTCTGTGTACCCAGGTCGCGACCTCGATGTCTTCAGGTCACGACCTGGCCTCTTTTGCTATGCACAGTTACCCTTCTCTTTGCTTCTTGCATTGTTGTGTAGGAGGAACCTTTTTAAGCTACCTTTGCATCTTTTTCAAGTGAACTTTTGCCTTTTTAATATACCCTTATTGCATCAAACAGTTTTTCTTGAAAAACCATGCCATCCTTGGACTTTTAAGCATACTGGATTTTGACAATGATTTTTCTGAAGACTTTATAGTCACTTTTGGGATTCAAGTATGTTCTTAAGTGATTATTTTGACCTTTTTAATCCTTATCTTATGGGTTGCTTTTGTGATAAGTGTCTTAATGCCTTGTGACTAATGCATATTGATTGAAGCTTCTTGTATGAACAATTGAGATGTGAAACCCTTGATGGAAGGATATTCTTGAGCCTTAATTCCTATATTGAGTGATTATTCATATGGTTTACAATCTCTAGAACTTGTTTTAGCTTTTGGTCAAAATTACATATGCATTTATGATTTTGAATATGATAGAGGCATTCTTTTCTACACCCTTTTACCCAAACACAACCCACAACCATCTATCCATTGTTTAACCATTTTTTAGCCTACACTTCCTTTATTTTGTCTACCATTTTGAGTGTTTTGAACAACGATGTTAATTGAGTTGATTCCGTCTCGACAATTATAATTTTATGATCTTCATGGGTCTTAATTGGGAATTTTACTTTTATTTCAAAGCTAGTTTGGAAAAAAACAAACAAAAAAATAAAAAAAATGAGAGAAAGAAAGAAAGAAAAGAATAGAAAAGCAAGGAAATACTTCTTATATATACATAAGCTATAGCAACAAAATAAAGTTGAATACAGTATTTCCATGGTGGTAGAAGGTTGGGATCTGAACTTCCTTATCTAAAAATAGATGTTATTTAATTCATGTTTTTTGATACTCGATTTCACTTTCTCTATTTTATTTAGCCTTTCCATCACTACAACCTTAAAAGTCCTCTTGATTCTTTACATGAATGCTGAATAGTAGTGGAGATTTTAGAGTTATTACAAGCTTATGGTAGAATGTTTGTTGCTTGGATGTTTGAGAGAAAAAGAACCCCAACGAGGAGAGATGAGCGATACAAACACTTATACCCTGTGAGCAAATCTCTGCTATTCATACATTTAGAGTCAATTACACCTTGTATCTGATTACTTGGCATTGTTCATGTTATCATTTTTGTATTCCTGAAAGATATTGATCGATTAGCTCTTGAGATCATTTTTGAACATGCTAGTTTCTTTAATTGTAGCTGCACTTTCTTTAAAATGATTCAAGTCTTTGTCCAAAAGTATAAAGGTTCAAGTGTGGGGGAGTGATAGAACCAAATCTTTATATGGTTTTCTCAAGTGCTTCCTAATGTTTTGCAACAATTTTACCCTCATTATGTATCCATTTATATCCATTTGATTACACTGAGTCATGCATTGCATTTTGCTGTTTAAGGGGCAAAAAGTGTCATTTTTCTCTCCTCAATTTTAATTGCCTTAATCTATAATCAGTTGGTCTTTACAAAGCTCTCTATTGTGATTTTTAGGCAATTGGAGAAGGACCCAAGAACCAAGATGGAGAATGGAAGGAGCCAAAATGTTACAAGGACCAAAATACGAGTTTGGAGTGTTCTACCTCATCAAGTCGCAACATGCACTTTTGAGGTTGTGACCTGGATGCCCTTTCAATTAAACTACGCATTTTGGACCTGAGTCAAGATTTCATCTCTCTATCTTCATAGGTCACGGCATGACACTAATTAGGTTGCTACCTGAGACCCCTAAGTCACGACCAGAAACTCCTAAAGTCACGACCTGAGTGCGTTAAGTGAAGCTGTGCGTTTTGGAATAGATTTCTGAGCTTCTATACCTAAAGGAGGCAACCACCATGAAAGGACACTCTTCTATTCTACAGATTTGCACAAGGTTGAGCACCATCATCTCCTCTCAAGTCTCCATTGATCCTACACCCAAAACTTCTATTTTTCTTCATCTCTTCACCATTTTTTGCATTTATGAACCTATCAAACTACTCCAACACCCTTCTTCTCCATTTTTCCAACTTCATTTTTAGCTTTAACTATGGTTGTTCATCCTTGGAGCGATTGTGATTGGTTTGAAGGCATGAGAGGCTAAACCCATTAGCCTCTTAGTGATGGAGAACGAAGCTTGAGCTCAAGGACTTAATCAGGGAGTTTTTCTATAGTCTAAACCTGTGCTTAATGTTGTGTTGAATATTTTTAGATTTAGGAACTTTCTGTACTTGTATTAGACTTGGTTTATGATTGTAAATATGGTGTTTAGACTATTTTATTGTATTTGGATTGGATGATGTTAATGTTGATTAATATGTATAATATTTCAATTTGAATCCTTGTGTTTAGTTTAAGTATAAGTGATTATTGTTGATTGATCTGTGTGCTTGGTATTCTGTGCTTGTTGATTGACATTTAGAGGGCATTTGCATCATCCGTTCATCTACACTCTAAGTGGTTTTCAACAGTGTCTTAAGAGATGTTAATTAACTTTAATTAAAGTAAGTTTTCATTAATTTAGACATTGAACCCAAGTGATTTACTTGGGGTTTTGTTCAGACTTAGAGGTTTTCTAAAACTCCCAATCATTTTAAAGAGTAGTGATAGCTGAGTTTTCATCATCAACAGACTGTTTAACCATAATTCCCTTTTAATCCAAAACGTTTCTTCATTCATTTAAAATACCAAAAACAGTTTATTCTCTACACTTTTCATTTATTGCACCACCTTAAAACAATTGAAACACCCTTTTCTTCACCCAAATTTACAATGCTTTTGATAACCAATCTAGACTAGGATTTCCAATAATAAGCTCCTCGAGAAGAATGACTGGTTACACCCTATACTGTATTATTTTTTTTCTGGTGTAATTCACTTTCTTGATGATTCAGAAGGCAACAGTCTAGCCTCAATCAGGAGACAAATTTGTTCTCACTAAAGGCGGAACATTTGTGGGCTAGGGTTATTTTTGTAACAACATGTTCAAATGTAATGTTGCTAAAGTTAATAATAGTATTTACAGTTCTGCTTATATTGTTGACTCTTGTGATTTATGGCATGATCATTTAGGTCATGTTAATTTTGGCAAAATGAATTATATAATGAAACTTGAATTGATTTCAAAGGCTGCTATTAATTATGACTCTTGCACTACTTACGTGTTGATTAAAATAACAAGGAAACATTTTCCTAGAGTAGAAAGAAATTCTAA